ATAGAATAGAATAGAATAGAATAGAATAGAATAGAATAGAATAGAATGGCCTGGGTAGACAGAATCCACCATGGTCCAGGGAAGCTCCCTGTAGTGAAAGACAGGGCATTGGCTAAATGGGAAGAATTTGAAACTGGTAAATCTAGCAAAGGTTAACATTTACTGGTTTCAAAGAACATTTTATTTTCCATATGAAAGATAAGAACTTTAAACATTTCTTTACAGCTACATATACAAAATTAAAGATAGATAATAATGTAGATGGAAGAAAGGGAATAGCTCCATTGGACATTGGGAGTGATGGCCAGAGCAGATGTTTTGTTTCTTAGTTTTCATTTTTCCAGAAAGCACTCCTCTTTAGTTTAGACTGTAGCTTGCTGTGCCATCCAACAATAGTGGGGGCTCTTCTCTGTCTCTGTTTCAGAATCCATGGACTGCATTTTTTGGTTAGGATTAGTATCCGGGATGTTAGATCACCAACTGAACAAAGGAAGGGGTCAGAAAGAGCTTGCTTCTCTCCTGCTGCTCTATGAGAGACAAGGAGACCATGGCCCTAAAATAATCAAACATATGTTCTGAAAAAGGGGGCAGACAAGACAGGAAAAACTTAAAAAGAGGAACAGGAAGATAGAGGGAGAATGTAAAAATATTTTAAAGGAACAAGAAGTGGGGTGGGACCAAAAAACTTGTAAAAAGGTTGTCAAATCCTTAGTATGACAATTAGAAGACCACAGTTCAAGGCTACCTTGGGCTAGCCTGAGTTTAAGGCTGTCTAGGAAAATTAGTTAACACCCTGTCTGAAAATGAAACATAAAAAAGTCTGAGGGTATGGCTCAGTGGTAGAATGCTTGCCTAGCACGAATGAGCCCCTCACACTGCAAAGTTAAATGACAAACAAATCAACACCCACAATTTTGTTCCAGGAGCAGCACAATCGACAAGTGAAAAGACACGGTCCTCTGTCTTATGTTCCCCAACATATGTGGCAGAAGACCCGGAAGCAAGGATGGGAAGCAGCCAAGAAGGTAAGGAATAGATAAGGCTGCCCAGGGGTCATGGGTTGGCAATGGCTCTGTGAGTCCCACAGCTCCAGCTACAGTACTAGCTTGTGGTCCAGGCCAGCCCTAAATCCAGTCCTCTGCACCTGCCTGCTGGGAGCTGGAGAGAAGCAAGAACCCTTCACAGAGCCATGTGTGACAAGCCGTGTGTGACAGGATGGAGTCAGTTGGTCATGTCTGGGTGGAAGAGAAGAAACACACTCTTAAAACTGGCAATTGCTTGCCTGCTGCCTTGATGTACTGAGTCATACCCATTCTTTCCTGCCACCCCAGACACCTAAGTAAACTCTTGCAGCTAGATAATGAAGTTGTTTTGTCATATAAGCCATGACAAGGGTCCCTGTCGGGTATGAGCTTGCAGCCTGTGAAGAGGAAAGAGTTCAGGTCAGCTAGTCTCAATCCAGAGTATATTTCCAACCAAAGTCCTCAAGAGTGTCAAAGAACTAATTAGGGCTTGCCCAGAAAATTACCTACAAAATTCTTATTTTATTTGTGCAAAAACTTGTTAACATTTAAAATGTTTCTTTGGGAGGTGGGGGTCCAAAAATGGCCAGGACCCTGCTTGGATTCCTAGTTGTCAGTTCAGTAGCCTTGGATTCTTCTAGGAGGAAGAAAGAAATGACAATCCAAACACTGATGTAAGCAAGGCGCTTGCAGTGTGGAAGGTAACTTCTCTTCATTATTTCTTTCCTAATCGCCATTTATTGTTTTCTAGAAGCTATGGACACTAGGAACAACATTACTGTAGAAGAATCCAGGAAGAGGAGAGGTAAGGAAACAAGGGGTGTTTCCATGCTTTTGATGTAACAGAGAAGTCATTTGTTGCTAAGTTTGCTGCTGTGATAAAGGAGTAGGCTATGGTGACCTCCCCTAAGGTCCTCCTCATCCTTGGAGCCTGCTATATTAACGACAAAGGCACTCTACACATGTAATTAAGTTAAGGCCCTTGGTGGGGGAGTTGCTTTTGACTGTTAGTGTATGGGTGCCTGATCTGATTTTATGGGTCTTAAGAAGTGGGAACCTTTCTCAGATGGAAAGGGCGGAAACAAAGGTGCAGTAATAGTGAGAAGGATGCTAGACTGGTGGCTCTGAGGATGCGGGAACGGATGCAGGAACGTGACGATCTTGAGAATGTGGAGGAGGCAAGGAAACAGGTTCTTCTCGAGCCTCCAGGAACAGATGAAGGGCTGTGGACAGCTGGACTTCAGCCTGATGAGACCCACAGCAGACATCTAATTGACGTGGTGCTGAGATAAACTGGTGCTGTTTTTAAGCTACTGAACTTTTGGTGATTTGTTCTGAGAGCAATAAAGAGTGGTACATATCTTGGGATTGTCAGGAACTGCGTAACTGTGGCCATGACAATGACAGGACCGCAAATATTAGGTGGCTCTATAAGACGGTGTTGCTCTGTGGGGCTTCAGAGTCACCTGATGACACGTAGCCACTGCACAGTCTTTGCACAGGGGCCATGCTAATCTTCTCTGTATCGTTCCAATTTTAGTATATGTGCTGCCGAAGCGAGCAATACAACACATTCTTAAACTTGGAAATTAGGCAATGAGGAGACAGTGAAAAATTTGTCGTTTGCTCTTTCTTTCTTTTTTCTTTTCTTTTCTTTTCTTTCTTTCTTTTCTCACTGTGTAGCCCCGGCTAGTCTAGAGCCTGCTGTTTAGATCATGCTGGCCATGAACTCACAGAGATATACTTGCCTCTGCCTCCTGAGTATTGGGATTAAAGGCATGCTCCATTGAACTGCTGATCTCTTGAGGAGGAATTTCAAATACTATGGTAGAAAAAGGCTTGGGGTGCCCTGAGAAGTGAAATGAAAGACTCAGTGAGAACTTAGGATGACGTGAAGAACACTCCAGAGATAACAAATATCCCTCAGTTTACACCCTTCTGTATGAACATATGAGCATATGAGCATTAAGTAGGGCTCAGTGTCTTTGCAGTTCTTATTTAAGATAAGGTGTATAGTGAAAGGCAAAAATCCTAAGCACACGCTTTGATGAATCTGGCTAATTGCATTGGTTTTAAAATAACAAGCCTATCGGTACACAGAATAGGAGCATGAACGTGTGAAGGTTTTCTTTTCTATGCTTTTTCTTTACTCCCTATTCATCAAGGCAGCCATTATTATTCAGGGACACAATAATTTAGGTTGTTTTTTACATGCTAAGTAAGATTTGTCAGCATGTTGCTTACTATAAAGTTTCCTTCTCTGCACAGAATGATTCTGCAGTTAACTTACGTTGAGGAATGCTTGCCATGATAGTTGGCTTTTTTTTTTTTTATTGCTAAGGAGCCTACTTTGACAAGCCTGAATTTGTTTGCATGTTCTGCATTGGGAGAAATGCAGGTTCGGCCTCCATTTCCAGAGACCAGTGCTACTCAGTCATAGCATTTCCACAGCCCCCGCCAGTCATGGCTTCTCACAGGACTGAACAAATATTCAGCCCAGTTAGTTGTGTTCTGCCAGCTTGTGGAGTGGCCACATCTGCTCTCAGTTCTGTGTAACCCGCTTGGGCAGAGCAGCTTTGGCATCAGCAGACATGAGCATCAGCTCAGCTGAGCTCACGAGCCATGCCCAGGTGAGTCTTGATGGAAGTTTTCAGAAACTGGTCTCTAGCTTGCCGTAGACTGGACAGCAGAAGCTCTGCCGGGTGGAATGTTCTTAGTACGTCACCTTCCTTGGAAGACCACGACAGATTTGGTGCTTCTGCCCTTGTCAGTCCTGGAGTTGCTGTTGATTCACCCAAGATGGGCATCTCGGATTGTGACTGCTCCAGCCAGCCACAACCAGTGAACAACCACAGAGACCCTGTTCCAAAGAAAGTGCAAGTCAAGGACTGACGTGTAGAGTTGCCCTCTGACCTTCACACGTGTGCACTGGCACGACCATGCTTGCACTCATTCAAACACATGAGCACGCAGTAAGCACATCCTCTATTTCAGCAAACATACAGATTAAGAAATAATAATCATCCCTCATCGTCATCATTAGACAGACTCTCCAATCCTCCAGACCTGTGGTCACACGCATTTGCATAATTCAAGAGAAAACAAAACTGCAACAGAAAGATCCTATGAGGCTTCCTAAAGTTTCCCCACCCCCACTCCAGCCCTGCAGGAGCTAGATGAAACACATGAGGGTCTCATGTTACAACTCTAAGAAAGTGGAGACTAACTAAAGAAAAAGGTTCCACATGGCAGTTGAGAGCATTCTTCGCCTCACAGTGTAGCATGGTCTCCAGCTTGAATTTGCATGGTAGATAAATGCTCCAACACTTGTCATTCAATCAACCTAAGGCACGAGCAGGAATGAGCTTTCTATTCTTCAAAGGTGTTCAAGGGAAAGTGATCTCCTACAGCATCCCATGACCAGAGCCCAGGTCACAGAAAGAACTGAAATTTAACTGTGCCATCAACCTTCACACAACTAAACTGTTAAGAATTTTGCCTCATTTCTAGGAACTGAAGTTTGACAACAGTATCTGAGCACTGCTGACATATAAGGCCCAGAGAATTATGTTTATAGCTCTGAACAAGTAATTTTAGCCTTTTTGTTTGTTTGTTTGTTTTGAAGGAAGAAAGAAAGGCCACAACCAGTCAACACGAAAACGGAGGAGGCCACTAACTCTAGGCCCACAAAGTAAGCAAACAGGGCAACAGAGTTAGAGCTGTCGAGTTTATGAAAGTCTTGCCACTGCACACTTGGGGGCCTTGAGTTTCTGAGCCATGATAGTGTGTGCACATGTGTGTGCTGTACTGACACAGGTGCATATGGCTACACATACTCACCCCCACATGTATAGCCTGAGGAGGGTGGAGACTCTCCTGTTCTCTCTTGTGCACGTGCTCTCTCTGTCTCTCTCTCTGTTTCTCTCTGTGTCTCTCTGTCTCTCTCTCTCTCCCATATTCCCCTGATAATTGCCAGTCAGCAACCACAGTGAGCCTATTGTCTCCAGTCCCTTAACACTAGCATTATAGGCACATACCTAAGCATTTTTTACATGGACATTGGTGTCTAAACACAAGACCTCATGCTTGCAAATTGATGCTCTTAAGCAGTGAGCAATCTCCACCGTCCCACAAAAATTTTACAGCTACAGTAAGATGTGGGTTCAGATGCTGTACCAAAGGATCCTGACACTACAATGTCTTTGACAAATGGTTTCATTCTTGTACACGTGGTGGTCCAGAGCGAGTGGCCCAGAGCTGGAAGGAAAGTGCTGTCATCCTCAGTATGAAATATTTATTGACCTGGAAAAATGTTTCAAAGAAGGATGAATGAAGCAACCCGGTCACGTGTACACATGTGCGAGTGTGAGTGTGTGTGTGTGTGTGTGTGTGTGCGAGTGTGTGTGTGTGAGAGTGTGTGTGTGTGTGTGTGTGTGTAGGATAAAAAATTTTCTTTTTTTGGACATATGTACCTGTGAAAACATTCATTTTTTTGTCCATAAATTCATCTCTTTTAATAGAAGTATGTGTCTGTCTGGAGAGAGAAAGGTGTACTTAGACATGGAAACATAGATGATAGTCCATGTCTGCAAATGTGTTCATTGAAGGGCCAGGGAGAACCTCAGCAGCTAAAGCACTTGCTGTACAAGCATGAGGGCCTGAGTACAGATCCCCAACACCCACATGAAATTTTGGGCATAATGCACACATCTGTAATCCCCCACTGGAGAAGCACGTGCAGGCAGATTCCTCAAACTTGTTGAATAATGAGCCTAGCCATATCATGAGCTCCAGCTTTAGTGTCAGGCTTGTGTCTGTGTCAGACAGTTAAGGTGGGGATCTATTGGAGAAGACATCAAACATGGATCTCTGGCCTCCACACATTCAGGCACACCCACACATATACAAAGGAACTCACTCTTATACACACATATGCAAAAATGCATGCATTGGTTATTGGAATTGAGGCGATGTCTATATTTTTATTTGTTTTTCACAATATTGAACATGCTCAGCCTTTGTCACTAAAGGCATTCTTTAGAGAGATACACACAGCTAGGAAGATACACACGGTGGGGAGAGTGGGAGAGGGAAGGGGAAAGAGAGAAGGGTGGGGAGAGAGACCAACTTGAACAAACCTGTCATAAATATAGCTATATGGTGATGTTGCCATGTTTCATACAATCTTATTCCTATAAGATGTATATATTTACAAACGGACCCTGACACATGATTTTAGGAATGATCTAAGGGATTTCTTCTTTCTAGAGAAAAGCTAAATGCCATTTTCTAAATGACTATCACTTTGCATCAGGTCTGTAAGTAGGCTTTGGAATCCCACTCAATATTAATTTCATGAAACTAAGAGTCTTATGGTCTTGACAATGAGCTGACTGATGTGTAGATTTTTGTTCAGAAAGGAGAAAAAGAGTCATTGCATTCATTTTTTTTTAATGCATATTTTCACACCGCATCATTTGGGTAGTTTTTGAAAACATTTTCATGCATGTCTTCTTGTGTGTAGACAAATAGATTTCTTTCCAAAGTGTCAACACAACTGAATCCTGCACATGCTTTAACTCTGACTTCTGACTGGAAGAACATGGCTCCTTGTCATGAGCTCTCTTCCACAGGGCATGGAGAAAGTGGCCTGATGTGGCTGATGCCTGCCTTGCTCCTTCCCATTTTCACCTGTACTCTGCTCAACTCTGCATTTGGCTGTGTCCCTCCCAGGTGGCAGCAGAGCTGGTGGCCAGGCAGCTACCAAGAGAAAGGAAAGGGAAAGGACTCCAGAACAATCTGTCCAGACCAGGGGTAAGATGGCTTCTGTGGTTCTTTCTCTTCACCATCTGAGTGCACACAGATTTTGGTAAAATTTGGAGGAATCTAAAGCCTTAAAAGAAACAAATAACCTACTTAAACTAACTTGTCAATTGAGAGCAGTGTTGATGATTATTAATATTTAATATTGACTTATCTTATAGTTAAACAATGGTTATTCGTAAACCAGCTGTATACCCAAATTACCATACAGAGACTAGGATTTATTTAATTAACCTAGAGCATAATGTTGGGCAATAATTATCCACCCATCCTAAACCTCCAAGCCCACATAGCTGCCTCCCATTCAGATTTCCCAAATTATACTTGCTTTTTAGTCATATCTTAGGTCCAGTTTATTTCCCTGATGTTTCCAGGTTTCTGCTCATGGATCTCTTTTCCCACCTCCTCTTTCTCCTCCCCTCCAGACCAGGATGTCCCACCCTATTCTCTCCATTGCTCAGCATTGGCCAGTTGTTTTCATTGGCAACACAGAGAACAAATGATGGCATGTTTACACAATCTTGAGATAGGTGAAGCTTAGAATAAGCATCACAATGCAATGTCCAGATTGAAACTAAGAAGTTTCTCTGCACAATATCTTCTCTTGGGAGCAGAATGAATCAAGGGTGTGTCACAAGCACAAGTCCACAGCAGTAGGAACATCCTCTTTCCAGTGAACATCTCCTGCAAATCGAACCAACTTTTCTGGGATCCACGTGGCTCCTTCAGTATCCTGTAGAAAAACACAAACATTCCTTCTCCCCAAATTAAGGCAATTTGGGACCTTGCCATCTTCCAGTAATTGGAGCTTTCCATTTCACTTGGGCATAATAATCTTTGGTATTAGGATGCTACAATCAGTCAGCCACTGAACAGCCTCATATATCCACATTCAAAAAAAAATTAAAATAAAACGTGATTAAGATTTGGGGATATGACTCCCTCTTTTTTATTTTTTGCAATTGGTTCTTAAGTGATTTATGGTCATGCTCCACAATTCCTTGACCTTGAGGATTATATGGAATACCTTTTTATGATTTGTGCACAAAAATGCTGAAAAGCTTGACTAATATATTCAGTACCATTATCAGTATTTATAATGGGAGGAATACCAGTTGTAACCAATGACTCATAGTGAGTTTGGTGGCTTCTCCTGCTAAGGGAGTTGCCATTATAAATCCTGAAAAAGTATCAATTGTTACATGAACATATTTTAGCTTTTCACATTTTGGGATGTGAGTAACAACTATTTGTTGTTTAGAATGGTTCCAACCCTAGGTTTTAAGTAAGTTAACTATATGTTACAGATTTTAAAAATACCCAATGACCAATAATCTATAACCAAGACATAATGAACTCAGTAAACGTATACATTCAAGACAGAACAAATGATCTTCTCCTGTCAAACATTCTCTTGCTAATTACTTCCAGTCCCCTGGACAGAGAACCTCAGTAGACAAGGACTCTTAACACAGCTTGAGTAAAAGGTGCTGTAGGACTATTTGGAGAGCATGCAGTTTTCAAGGCTTTTAATTGCTAAATGATATGATATGGACTCTCACCATATTACCCTGTCCATCAGGGTGCTCTATAACTGGAAAGCCATAAAACTCAGTTATATCTTCTTCTTTCTGCCTAGCTTGTTCTTCCTCTAACTCTGCAATCTCATCAGGATCTAAGTTATTCTCAAAGTCTTCTTCTAACAAGGAATTATCATTAGGAGGAACATATACCTCTTCTGGAAGAGCTGATGGTTTAATCTCATTATGTCCCGAAGCCTCACATATTTCTTTCCTCTTTCTCTCTTACCCTGAAGGTTGTACTTTCAGTCTGGTGCCATATAGTCAGACTATTTCTAATTAAATTCCATTAAAAAAACATGAGGATGCTGCCTTGTCCATTTTTACTCTCGAATTTTATTCACTGTGTCCTTTTTACTTCATGATCCAAGCTGGCCAACAACTGCGTGTCCTTCACTACTTCCCCGTATCTCAGGTTCCTGTTCAGGCACTAAACTGCTGGAGAGCACTGGCAGATTCAAACAGTTCTTGAGTGGGGAGTGAGGATTGAAAGAAAAAAAAATCAAGACACTACACATGGGATCTGTTAGAGAAGGTTTCTAGTAGAAAATTAGGCACTCAGTTTATTCCACTGTCCCTTTTTATAGTCAGAGCAAAGTACTTTGGTACAATGAAGTTCATGGAGAAGTCAAGCTTCTTTACCTCAACCACCAGTCTGTGCTATCCTCACACAAACAAAAGAAAGTGAGCTTGGCAAAAACATCCTGTCTGTCCCTGTCTCCAGGTGAAGGCCAGGGTGAAAACATGTTTTTTTGCTGAGAGCTCAATAAGAAAGTATCCTGACAAACAAGCGGCTCTCCACAAGAGCCATAGACAACTACAGTACTGGCTCCATTGACCTGAAACTCTCAAGAATGGAAACAGTCTCTGGCACACAGGGTGTCACCCAGCAGTGACTGTACACTCAGGTGTACAGAGTGCTGAACAGAAACCTAGGTTTAAGCTTTTTCTTCCTTTGACCTCATAGACTTGGACCTGTCCCTTGTCTCTGACCTTAATTTCTTTATTTCTAATATAAGAGGGTGATTTATGTCAACCATTCTCAGTCCACTGCAGTCTCGATCCCACCCACCTCCACCCCCAGCACATCCAGGTGTCTGCCTTGATTACAGGCAGGGAAAACTTAGCTTCTCACCTTCCAGAAATTTGCTTGAGGAATTTTCATCTCTACATCTGTGGAATTGAATCTCTTCCCTCCCTGTATAGTTTTTATATTAGTCTAGAAGATTCTGGGTTTCTGTATCAGCTACAGATACAAAAAAACACTGTTGTGAGTGAGAAATGAAGCAGAGCAGACATAAAGAGGATGTAGAAGTGATCTCACCCAGTTCTGCTAGGTTGCTGCTCATCTCCTCTCCCTGCTCACCCAGTCAGTGCTCAAATGGAGAGAAAAGAGGAGCATCTCTGGCCACCATCTTTAGCCAAACAGCACAGTTAAACAACTCCAGTCTTAACCTGACAACAGCCATATTTCATGGTCATGTAGCAATCAGTGTACTAACTAGCAAAGGAGTTAGGACAGTTTTATAGAAGCCAAATTTCTTTGCTAATTCTTCTGTTTTTTATGAATCAGGGGTATCGTGTTTTTTTATTATGTATCCAAAATGCCACTTGGAAGAATGACTTAGAAACTAAAGATAGGAGCAAAATGTCCTAAGTTTTAATGAAATAATTCCAAAGGGAGGAGGGGGAATGAAAACTACAAAGTGAAGAGAGAAGAATAAATCCTCTTTTTCAGTTCTAAGAAGGCGCAGAAATACAACTGCAGATTTCAGTGCTGAGTTGCTTCCTGTGACATGTGGTAACTTGAAAGGAACATTATACAAGGATAAATTCAAGCAAGGTAGGTCTCATGACTTGTAGTAATTAAATGAATGAATGCTAGGTTATGTAATGTTTATTATTAGCTCTAAGTTATCATGGCAGTATTATTTAACCTGCTATCACAAAATATTAAGACACAGACATCTGTTAGTTTTATAATTGCCTTATATACTTTGGGCCATGCAGATATTTCACTTACACTATCTCAGTAACCTCACCATCCATCTTTCAGCCCCCATCCAGTGCCATCGACCTTAACCATCCTCATCTGGTCTGCCCTCCATGCATAATCCCATGGTACTTGCATATATTCATCTGGGCCTTTTCATGCCATTATTGCAATCCTTCCTCTTGGCTTAAGTACTGTTTTTCTCCACATTAACCGTTCATGGTTTCCTCCTTTCTCCTCTCTTCAGGTCCATCTTCTTCTCATGATTCCCTGTCCTCAAAAGCCTGCAAACTTTAGCCATGCCAATCTCATTCACTCCTGCCCAGTGAATTTTTTGGTCATCCTGGTGGGTGTGAAACTGTGTAGTTGGAATTTTGTTTGTATTTTCATAATAATGAAGAAATCAAACATACAATTGGCTTTTTAACATAAAGTATATTTCCACTGAATTATATTTCACTTATGTTTGATGATGTCTACTGTAACTACAGGGATGGGCAAACTTCTGTTTGATATTCTCATGAAGCTTATCCAATTTATGATGCCATATAATCCTGAGTTGCAGGAACCAGCTGCAGTCTTGGCTCCAAGCTTGCCTGGGGCACCTGAGCCTCTGGTTGTTCTCCATCCTGAGACCCCCAGCATCAGGTTGAATCCACTCAGGCTGTGGAGTCACTCACTTGCCTGACTTTTCCATTTCCAGGTGACCCTGAAGTCGTTTTACCAGGTGTTTGATGGTGATGATTATCATTTTTTCATGCATGACAATCAAAGCTTTTCATGGCTTCATGAAAGCCCTGTCAGGGAGTCTGAGGGCTGAGCTGGGGATTCCTGAAGCCTGAGAGGACACATGACTCCTCTGCTATTGGCATCCAGCACAGTTTGGGTGGCTCTAGCTCTAGCATGGTGGGAGGCCACACATCTGAGCTCTACGGGCACAGCAGAGTCAGAGTTAACCAACTGTGGTCTTACAGGGACCTCTGTGATGTCCATACAATGTGAGAATGGAAACTGGTTCACGCCCCAAGAATTTGAAATTATGGGAGGCCATGAAAGAGCAAAGAACTGGAAATTGAGTCTGCGCTGTTATAACTGGCCCTTGAAATTTCTGATCAAGGTATTGTAATGGAAGGGAGAGGGGTCAGCGCTTCTTATTGCATCAGTTACAGATCAAATAGGTATTGAGTTAGGGGAAAGCCCTAATATCAGTTAGGTTTCCCTGTCAGTCAGGAGAAGGCACCCTACACTCATAGCCTCATTGCTGGCAGGTACACCCTTGGCGGTGTTGCAGACCACAGATACAGAACCTCTGAGGAGGGAATGGCCATTCTGAATAAGGTTATTGCAAATAGATTTCTTTGGCATTGAAGCCAAAGAAAGAGCTGACAAATGAATGGAAGACAGGCTAGAGAAAGAAGGGCATGCAGAGTTCTGACTAGGGCTCCTGTGTGGATATAGGAAGATGTGTTGTGTATTTGGCATAACCTATCTTTTGAGGTTACTGGTTCAGGATATTAATACTACCCTAAATACTCCAAACCCAAAATTTACACAAGAAAGCAGTGATGTCCTTGAAGTTAGAGATGACAGTAAGGAGTAGACATAGTGGTAGAAACCTTTAATCTCAGCACTTAGGATGCAGAGATGAGAGGATTTCTGAATAGCAAGTTCCAAGATAACCAGCACTTCATAGAGAGACTCTTCTTCAAAATAATGAGAAAGAAAGAAAGAAACAAAGAAAGAGAGAGAAAGAGAAAGAGAGAGAATCCCAACATTCTTGTTCTACTTTGCTTCCTGTGCTGCTATGATAAATACCACAACCAAAAACAACTTGTTGAAGGAAATGGATCATTTGGCTTCTAGAGCATAGTCCATTGGGGTGGGAAGCCCAGGCAGGAATTTAAGGCAGAAATGTGGAGTCAGGAACGGATGTGGACACTACAGAAGAACACTGCTTACTGGCTTGATCCTCGTCTCCTGTTCAGCTGCCTTTCTTACTCAGGCTAAGTACACCTTTCTAGGGATGATATCACCCACCGTGGGCTTAGACTTCCTATATCAATCCACGGTCAAGAAGATGTCCTTGCTGGGCAAGGTGCATGCCTGTAATCCCAGCACTTAGGGAGGTAGAGGCAGGCAGAAGTGTCTCCAGGACAGCCAAGGCTATAGGAGAATCCCTGTCTGAAAAAGAAAGAAAGGGAGAAAGAAAAATTTAAAAAGAAAAAGAAAGAAAGAAAGAGAAAAGAAAAGAAAAGAAAAGGAAGAAGAGAAAAAAAGAAAATGCCCTCACAGAATTGCCTATAGGCTATCTAAGATAAACAATTCTTCAACTGATGTTTGCTCTTCTTAAAGCATGTCAAGCTGACAACATATTAACAAGGATTATGCTATTAGAAAGAGTCTCTCTCAGATATGATTTCATCATCTCTCTATCCAGCAAGCCTGTATTTGTCCCGGCTAGTCCTGGACCATCAGCTTCCAGAGATCCTTCATTAATTGTGTAAGATTGGTTCTCGGTGGGGGCAGTCATAGCACACACCTTTAAGCCAAGAAATTCTGAGGCAGAAGCAGGTGGGTCTCTGAGTTCAAGGCCTCCATAGTGCAAGCAATATGGCCAAGGGTTAAACAGAGAAATCCTGTCTCGAAAAGGAGATTGGGGAGAGGGAGGAGAGACAGAGAAAGAGGGAGATTGTTTTTTCTATGAGCGTTCTCTCCTCTGCTTTCCTCCCCTGCCAGGTTTTCTATCCTTTTGTGTCCACACTCATCAGAGAATGTGACACCCTGTATTCATGCAACAAGTGGGTGCTGGCTGGCTAGTCCTGGTACAGAAAGTCAAGCTGAAGTGGGTCGGGTAGGACCAGAGAGGATGTAATGGTTGAATCAGTGATTCAGGGGGAAATTCTCAGGGCCTCAGGAAGATGCACCAGAGAAAGAGGGATGTCAGGAGGTCATTCCATGTGCCACGGCTACAGTCTTTCAGTAGTAGGTGAGGAGAGGGAGGATTCAGACAACTCAGATCTGAAGAGGCCATAGAACATCCAGGCAGAAAGTTTTGGAAGGAGGTTGGAAATGCCAGTCTCACACCACTGAAATACAGATACCAACATCCTCAGGTCCTTTTATCTTGCAGAGAAACTTTCTACCCAGTCCTCCACGAAAATATGCCAGGAAAAAAAAGGTGAGTTCTCACCATGTGGTTTTATACACACAGCATGTTACTTCATGGTGTCTCAGTTAGGTTGTTATATACCTAAGTCACTTCTCATTGTCTCCTCTACCTTTCTCTTTTCTTGTTTTGAGCCGGAGTCTCCACCCACACTGCAGTGTGGATGGTATAGCTAGATCTTCCTTGAACATTGACTCCTTTGAGCTGGAGATGTGAGAGAGCTACCAACATAGACTTCAGTGAGCCAGGAGACCCTAGACACGAGCTTCATGGCTCGCTGAGAATTTGAACTTCAGGCTTGCATGTTATTTGCCATTTGAATTATCATCCAGCTTGTTTGAACTCTAAACTGCTGGGATGTTTCATCCACGCAGCTTCCTAGAAAAAAGCTACCATTTCATCTGTCCAATGAATGCTTTAAAGGCCAGTGCCTCTACCTTTCCCCATGTGCCAAGAGTGTCTCAGTCTGGGTCAATCAAATGAGCTAGAAGTGCCCAGCCCATGTAATTCATCCTTGTTCCTAAGTTCAGCGCTCCTGTGGAACAAGGGAGGTGTTTGTCTCTCATTTTGTTGTGTCTCTCCTTATAAGAACAGGATTCCCAGAGAAACAAAATCCAAGATCTACTTTCACTTTCTTAAGTTACTCACGGCCTCTTCATCTGCTCAGGGGTTGGGATTCTGGAAACTTCCATGTCATTGAAAGCATCACATGACAGCTTCCTTGCTCATGACAGGATTGTTTAAACTCCCTGTTTTGATTGTTTTGTGTCAGGAAGTCCTGGATACTTTCTATAACCGTATTTCTGTATGATGACATCTGCATTGAGATACCCGGAGTCTCTTTCCCAAGCAAAGCCACATTTACTCCTCTGTGTAATGCACAATTACAAAGTATGCGAAGAATGTCCAGGGACTGGTAGAGAAGATAGTAAAAGTAGCTCTGACTGACCTCCGGTATTTTGTGAAAGTCACTGTCCACATTAAAGAATAACCAGTGGGGTGAAGTAGGGGATTCTAGAGTCGTGGACAGTGGCAGGACTGTCTCTCAGGTGAGTGTATCCTAGATCATGCTTTTCTCCAGCTCTCGGCCCTGGACTGGAGTTAAAGGCTGTGTCTGCCTGCCTCACAGAAGGCAAGGATAAAAAGTCATTAAACCGATGTGCAAAAGCAGTGTGAATCCCATGCTTGCCTCTGAACATTGCAGCCAACACGGCATCCCTTTGAGCTTTGAATAGAGAAGAGGGAGGCCATGGAGAGGAAGAGCTGGAGCCCTGGGCCCCTTGGGTTCACTTGATTTTTAGGGAGAGCTACAGAAAGTATGGATTTCCTCTCTAGGATCACGTGGACTCTAGAACTCTGAGCCTTATGGGTTCTTGAATACAATTGGTCCATCTTCAGCCTCTTTCTCATGGCAGCCTCTCTGATGGGGGAGATCCTCCTCCCCTTCCTTCTGATCCTAGTCTACAGGTCTCATCAGGAATGGCTGCACTGTCTTTCTCTGTAGCCTGATAAGGCTGCTCTCCCCTCAGTGGGAGATAATCAAAGAGCAGGCCAATCAGTTCATGTCAGAGACAGTCCCTGTTCCCATTACTATGGAAACCACTTGGATAGTGAACTGCCATGGGTTACATCTGTGCAGGGGTTCTAGGTTATCCCCATGAATGGTCCTCAGTTCTCGTACAACCACTTCAGAAATCAATCTGGCACTTTCTGAGACAGTTAGGAATAGCACTTCCTCAAGATCCAGCTATATCACTCCTAGGATTATATCCAAAAGATGCTCAAGAATACAACAAGGACATTTGCTCAACTATGTTTGTAGCAGCTTTATTTGTAAAAGCCAGAAGCTAGAAACAGCCCAGATGCCCCTCAGTTGAGGAATGGATACAGAAATTATGGTATATCTACGCAATGGAATATTACTCAGCAATAAAAAACAAGGAAATCATGAAATTTGCAGGCAAATGGCGGGAACTGGAAAAGATCATCCTGTGTGAGGTATCCAAGAAGCAGTAAGACACAACAGGGTATATAATCACTCATAAGTAGATATTAGATATATAATATAGGATAAACATACTAAATTTTGTATGCATAAATAAACTAATCAAGAAGGAGGACTCTGGCTAAGATGTTCAATACCCATTCAGGAAGGCAAAGAGGATAGACATCAGAAGAGGGAGAAAACAAGGAACAGGACAGGAGCATACCACAGAGGGCCTCTGAAAGGCTCTACCCTGCAAGGTATCAGAGCAGATGCTGAGACTTATAGCCAAACTTTGGGCAGAGGTCAGGGAATCTTATGAAGGAAGGGGGAGATAGTAAGACCTGGAGAGGAGAGGAGCTCTACAAGGAGAGCAACAGAACCAAAAAATCTGGGCACAGGGGTCTTTTCTGAGATTGATAAACAAAAATTTGACTACATGAATGAATGAATGAATGAATGAATGAATGAATGAATGAATTACAAAAGCAAATATTACTCTTAATATTTTGACACAAATTTTCTCCTTCAGCAGGGAACACAGAATTTGTATCATTCCCAAGCTGACCCGTGTGTAAGTACAAACTCCTGGCTACAATCCCTGAAAAACCCAGCCATCTTGTCTCCTCGGTGTATTGCCTGTGTCTTGGTTGCCTCTCCCTTGAAGGCACTTGCTGTCATTTTGCACATGCTTCCCTGAAGAGCCATCCTTACTAAATCTGACCCACAAGCAAAGCAGGAGGAGCCAGTCTGGGCGTTTGGGTCAGAAGTTTCCTAACACGGGTTTTACCATGGGGGTCTCATATCCTCATTTACTCTAAAGGTAAAGGTGGGAGACATCTCTAGCTCTCTGGGGTCCCTGAAGGAATGAAGGGTGAGAAGAAAACACGGGAGACGCCATTTGTAACAGGCAGTGTGTGGAAAGGAAACATCCCAGCCTGCATCCCATGTGCAGCTAGAGCCCAGAAGGAGCAGACGAGGCCTCGTGTGCAAGTGTTAGGTCTGGACTGCTTCTTGTCCTGCAGAAAGTTGCCTGCAGAGTCACTGAGTTCTCACAGATGTCCTCGGGTCAGGCTGAGGGGAGCCAGCAAAACCATCACTGTTTCTCTGTATCAGTGTGACTGGTGTTCAGTCATAGGCAAACCTTCCTAATACTTAAGGCTGTGTGCCTTCCCTGCTCACCTGACTTTTTGTATTTGTCGATTTTGTTAGAATGAAGAAAAAATTTAAATTAGCCTAAAAATTAGTGTTCAGAGGACAAGGAATTGGATGGGAGGTGAAAGATAGGAGAGAAGCCAGGTGTGGTGCATGGAGCATGTTAGATAAAATGGTGGTAAAAAAGAAAGATCAGGGTGCAGTAGGAAGATGGGATACAGCTTAATAGGGTGAGTTTGAGGTACACCTAGGGAGCCCTAGAGCAGACACTGCTGAATATTAGAACATGCAGGAGAGCTGAGGAGAGGTGAGACACCTGAAGCTGAGGACACAGGTAGAAACCTGCAGCTGGAGAGTGACTCTGACCATATGGACAGACTACAACTAAGGATGGAATCCTGAGGAATTCCGTCCTTTGCATCTGGAGGAGGAGAAAGATCCAGGAAGGAAAATGGCCAGCAGTTAAGTGATAGAGAAAATAACAACTAATGTTGCTGAAGGACATGCTTCTCTTGAAGTCAGAGATGGCCCGGGGCACAGAATGTTTGAGTCTATCACCTTTCCAACTTCCCATTTCCCACCCACTCATCCAGTGGTGGACCAGTCCTCAAGCTAGGTTCATGTTGGTTCCCCAGATGGTCACAAGAAGGTAGAAAATTTCCCAACAGCCCATGGACTACATCTTTCTCTTCCTTCCTTGATTTTTTTGAGATAGGTTCTCATGCAGTCCTATCAAAATAACCTCAAGCTTTCTATGTAGCCAAGAATGTCCATGAACCCCCGTTCCTCCTGTCTCAACTTTCCAGGGCAAAGATTCCTAGTGTGTGCCACCATACCTGAACTAGGATTTTTCCATATGCATATAGACCCACCTCTCATTTCTCAAACTGTTACCATTCTCCCTGAAGTTAGGACCAGGAATGCATGTGTTCCTGTCCAGATGTCACTCAGATATATCCTGCTTCCTGTGTTAAAGGTGATCATAAAAATATCCCACTAGCATCCCAAGGAATATAATGAAGAACTTGTTGGGATACATTGTGAGTGACAGGAAACAGAAACCTGCCAATCAAGGGTCATAGGTGTTGTTGGTTAGGGGTTTCCCACAGGGACAGAGACAGGGAGGAAACTAATAGACATTCTAGACCCTCTCAGTTATTTATAATTTTTGAGTATTTGTTTGTAGGTTTTGTTGTTGTTGTTACAAGGCTTCACATTATCCTCAAACTCATGATTCTAGTGCCTTAATCTCCTGAGTCCGGTGCCTTAATCCATGCACCCATCTTAGGCCTTCTGACATTTCCAGATATCTAGGCATGATGTATCACTGAACTGTAAGTTTGGTTTTATGCTGGGATTCCCACACACAGCAGTGGTTCATTCATAACCCACTTCTGCACCCTGAACACAAATATGTTTGTGTACCGTTCACTGGCTATGTGTTTGCCTGTTTATTATTTCTGTATAAAGTCTTTTGGTTTTGATAAATAGATCATACTTTCAATAGCAGCAAGGAAAAATAATGCTAAAGTTTAACTTCTTTAAATGAAAACTAAATTTGACTACAGGCTCTCTGTATTAGTCCTGGCAAGGAGTCCCACCTCTGCTGACTCTGCAGTTTTTTTCCTTTCACAGAACAAAGTTCTCTTTTTATACTTCCAGAAAATGATGTCAGGGCTTTGTTCTCTGTCTTGGTTTTCTTTCCTGCTCCTGTGATAAAAATACCCTGACAAAGGGAACTTGAGAGAGAAGAAAGAGCTGGACTAGACATTCTAGGTGATAGTCTATCCATGGCAACTCTTACAGATGGAAACATTTTATTGGGCTGGCTTATAATTCAGTGGTTTAGTTCATGATCATGGCAGGGAACATGGCAATATACAGACAGACATGGTGCTGGGGAGGCAGCTGTGAGTTCTACATCTGGATCTGCAGGCAGCAGGAAGTGACTACAGGTTATTAGAACTGGTTTGAGTTACAAGGACCATCTCCTAGTGACACACTTCTTCCAACAAGGCCACACCTACTCCAACAAGGCCACACCTCCTGATAGTTCCTTTCCTGTTGATGTATACGTATGGGGGCCATTTTTATTCAAAACCCACACTAGCCTTTTTGGGACAGGATGTTTAGTTTTATAAGGAAGATGGTTTTGGGTCTGGTTCATGGACCCTTTCTCCCAAACATCACTGAAGACCAGAAAGTCTCATTTTGCACACCCTTTTCCATGTTTTTTCTTAAATATCCCTGAGAAAAGCTTCAGTGTCCTCACAGATTCATGCAAAGGCCATGTACAGAAGGTGTCACAGTGGTGGCTCTGTGGGTGTCTTCTCTAGTGATGCAGATGTTGTATTTCTAGATGGAGAACTCAGATGAGTGTGAGGTGTGTCAGGATGGAGGGACGCTCTTCTGCTGTGATACTTGTCCCAGAGCCTTCCATGAAGAGTGTCACATCCCAGCGGTGGATGCTGAGATGTGAGTGAGATTCGATACCCTTTCCTTGTCATACACAGTACCCTTTTAGCGTGGAAGCCTGTGTGTGGATCCGGGGAAAGCAAGAGCTCTTAATAACAGGTATCAAATAGGAACCTCCAGAGAATTGTTTCAAGATGCTGTCATCAAAAGGCTAATGTTCTTTGTGTTAGGGATACCTCACCTGATGCAAAGGCCAGGCCCTTTGCCTACATATGGCTACTGCATTTTCTCACAATTGTGCAATGAAGCCTCTTGTCCAAAATTTGGGCGTTTTATATACCAATTGCTTTTTTCTCTACATACTTGTGAAAGAAAGCATTACCACTGCCCACATTTCACCACGTGGTAATGGACTCTTGGAGGTTCAAGGTTCCCAGAATCTTTTGAAGACCATTTACCGTGTTCAGCCCTGATATCCTGGTCCCCTTGTGCTCCTACCAACCTCAATCAAGAAATATAGAAACAGCACTCACTTGAAAGCCCATTTTCTAAACACTGGCTCCTATTAGGAAAGCTGGCATATTAAGAGCCTACCTGGGGTCCTTTAGAGCCTGGGAACCCCTTCCCCAGATGAGACTGTCCGCCAATCCTGAAAGCCCAGCGGCAGACATGTGAAGAATAGCTGTTTTCAATGATCTTGTCCCCTGCTCACTTCACATGCAATGTTTTAGAACACCGTGGAGTTGCGTCTTCTGTAGGACTCAGTCCTTAGGAAGCCAAGAGAGTCGTCCAGAGTCTGAGATCCTGCAGAGGCAGATGGTGCCCCAGGAACAGTTGGTGAGTCACTGGGAACCCCACACTTTCTCCATTCCCCTGGAAGAGGACAACCAGGCTGGGAGACAGGACAATAGCACCCAAAGGGTGTCTTTGCCTCCAAGCCACACTCCATCATGCTGCAATCATGGCATAACCTCGTGGTATAAAAATAACTCAGTCATTACCAAAGCACTCATGTTGGGCAAAGTTCCTGATGGGCGTGAGTAGTGCCTTCCTCCTGGGTGTGTGTGTAGACTCTGCCTTTCTGAGTCATTTGACTGAGTCCCTTTCTCTTGCAGAAGTGTGAGTTTGTTCTCTTGAGAGTCTATTGCTGTCCTGAGAGCTCCTTTTTTTCCAAGATGCCATATTATTGTTATGTAAGTAAAGGTGGTGAACCTCTTGCATCCATGATGTCATGTGACTGGGAAGGGCACTTGTGGGATTGTGACTGTAATCCCCAAGGAGCACAGGCTCTGTTGTTTCTGGGACCCCATGGAAGGGAAATGCTGAGCCTGCCAGTCATTCTGCCATTGTTATTTCTCTCACCACTTTAAGGACCGGGTTGTGCTTGTGCAGGAACCTATGTGGTTGGACATCATTAAGAAGAAGCTGAGTCAGCAGGCCTATTCCAAAGTGAAACAGTTTGTGCAAGACATGAGGCTCATCTTCCACAATCACAGAACCACATTCAAGGTCAGCATCTCTCTCTGACTACATCTCCTCTTCTGGGTTACGCCACACCTCATTTTCTGCTTACTGGAAAGTTTAGTTTCCTGTATCCTCCTGTAATAACGTTCCCTAAAGAAGAGATCTGAGTGTGCCAGACACAGCGGTACATGCCTGCGATGGCAACATTCAAAAGGTTGAGGCAGGAGGATTGTCTTCTGTTCAAAGACTGCCTGGTATACAGTACGAGACAATATCTCAAAAAAGAAAAAAAAATGGGAGTGAATTTTCCTTTGGTTTAGTTTCTAAAAAGTGTCTCACCGAAGGAAAGGTCCCCAGCACCACAGAACTCATTTCTCTCCTGGTCTACAAAGCTGCACAGAGGAAAATTAAGCCAACCCCAACCCACAGAGGAGAATAATTTAAAAAGTATTTGTATGTCCCATTTGGGCACGGTGGCATAGACTTTTAATCCTACCATATGGGAAGCAGAGGCAGCAGATCTCTGAGTCTGACGCTGGCCTGGTCTACAGAGAAAGTTCAAGAACAGCCAGGCGCGTACACAGCGATATCCTGTCTGGAAAAAAGTGTGTGTGTGTTGTGTGTGACTGTGTGTGTGTGTGTGTGTGTATGTGACTGTGTGTGTGTGTGTGTGTGACTGTGTGTGTATGTGTATCTCTTTGTGTCCATGTCTGTATATGCATGTGTCTCTGTATGTGTTTTTGGCACAAGGCACACTGTATGTACATGTGAGTGTAGGGGTCTCTGGAGTCCAGAGGCATCAGATCACACAAAGCTGCTGCTGTAACTGCCTGCCATGAGTCCTGGGCAGGAGCACAGGGTGCTGTTAACCACTGAGCCATCTCTCTAGATCCTGGTTTAAATCTTTGTGTGTGTATGAATGTGAAATGTGTATGTTTACATGAGTGTGTGCATGCTTGTGTGTGTGTTCAGATGTGTTTGTGTGTGTGCACACGCATGTGCTGTAATATACATGAGAATCAAGTTGGAGGGCAAGCTTGTATGTTATTCTCTACATTTCAGCTTCTTTGAGACAAGGCACCTGTTTGCCTCCATGGAGTTCTGGGATGACAGATGTGGGCTACCACATGTGGCTTTCCATGGATTCTGGGGATCTGATTTCAGGTGCTCACACTTGTGTGACAAACACTGACCCAGAGGGTCATCACCCAGCCTGAGAATTTTTCTGACTCTTATCTTTCCCTAGGTGGGATTATCAGAAATACCAAAGATTAGGTTTCTTTTTACATAAATAATCCATGAAGTTGACAGGATCCATCAGAGAACACAAGTACCAAGAAGGAAATGTTTGTTTCACTGACATGAGCCTCATCATTCTTGTCTTTGTTGCTGTTGTTGTTGTTGTTGTTATTATTATTATTATTATTATTATTACTTAGGAACCCAAGTTTGGCCAAATGGGT